ATGTCATGTTCCTTAGGACTCCAGAACCTGGGAACCGATCACAACAACAAGAACAAAAAATCCCTGAGTGCTGCACACACACACACAGACACAGATGATCTCTGTACATTGTTATCTGATGTCAGCTTGTCGAGACTGTCAGCGCTGAGTGATCTAGCGAGCTGATTATGAGTATCCACAGATGTAAATAACCTTTTTCACTAGTTCAAGGTGGGCCATCTGTCCACTGTCATTTATTTAGTTTATTAGTATGCAGGGTAAGAATTATGAAAATTATCTTTGGCTTATCAACTTTTGTTTCATAAAAGGGAAGTGGAACCAGGTATGTGCAAGAAACAAATTTTAGCAAGAAAAATTATGGCTCCGAGATTCAATCCACTCTTGAAAATCTGCATTCGACAGTAACCTTAGAGAAAAACTGTCTGATTCCAATCTCTTGCCTGCGATGTAAACCGAATCACAATCACAGGAAATGAATCCAATCATGGAGGGGTGGTGCAACAATCTAGGTCAGTTTTGGAAATGACTGCTACAGGCAATAAGATTAAGGAACGCGCCGATTCGCTGAAAGATGAATCAGTAAATCAGCTCTGAATGAGTAACACTTTGCTTCTGTTCTGTGTCTTGTGTGTAGCTAATGTTTATTTTTCCAGTTTATTTTTTATGATGAGAGCATAAGAAAGAGGCATTATGTATCTTTGTATCAACAGTACAGTGGATGAATTAGAAAAATATATATATTTTCCCCATCTCCCATTTGCTAACACCCCCCTCCCTCCACACACCTTCCTTCCCATTTCTACAGCTTAACTTCATTGTCTCAAACCCTTTCTTTCATCTTAAGACAAAGATTTATGTAAATCTTTGGGCCCGGCGTTAATGCGAGCCGCAGTGTGAGAAATAGCATCCCTAAATCGCAGTATTGTTGTTGAAAATGACAAGGCAGCCCCCTAATCCCACAATGCGATCATCCAAATGTGTCATAATGCTCTGTGTAGGCAGGCAAATCTGAATATCAAAAAGACACCACGCACCTCGCCAGAGCCTTCAGTTCTTTAGAACAGCTTTTTTAAAGAACTCACCCTGTTGTCACTTAAGGAAAGGCAAAAAGTATAGGAGAGGAAAAACAGAAATGTGACATTTGAGTGATTGGTTTGGTGTGCTGTTAAAGGAATTTTCTTTCTTTGTCTCAATGTTTTGGTCCTTTTTTTAAAATGCTTTTTGTGTTTGTTTTTTTTTCTCGAGTTTGACCTTCTCAATCCACAGCTAGACATAGTGTTTTTCTTTGACTTTGATTAGAAAAGTTTGATAACTGACAGAACCATTGATCTTCATTGAAGTTTGTGTGTCCTATATGGTGCTACCAGTATATTTCTCTCTCTCTCTCTCTCTTTAGTTTATTTATAATTTTTTTCTAGACAGTTATATAGTAGAAACAGTGTAATCGGAACATGTCACAAGTTCGACTTGAACCCGCATCACCCACATGAGCACCATGTCTCAGCATTTCTGGAGCATGTGTGCTAATCGCTGCATCAGAGCTCTGACTTTTTGTGTTTTACCATGCAGGACTATGGACGCATTGCTTAAATGCTAATTTATTCTTATTTATTCTTATTATTTACATTTTGCTATTTTAAATAATTTAGTTTTGGACTATTTTGCAGTCAACGCATTCCTAGATTACATTGTTTCATTCATCTCCTTATTCATTAATTCAGTTCTATAATGGGAAAACACTGGAAATTATAGGGAGAGAAATTAAGTGTTCAAACATGTCACAAGCTAGACTTGATCCTGAATCCCCCACATGAGCTCCATGTTTCAATATTTCTGGAGCACATGTGCTTATTGCTGCATCAGAGCTCTGGTGATTTGTGTTTTATCTTTTTTTTCTGTGTGTGTGTGTGTGTGCATGTGTGTTTTGTCATGCAGAACTTATTGTTTATATGTTATCTATATATTATCTATTTTGGACTATTATATGGCCATCAGTACATTCCTAGGTTGTAGTACTGTTTCTTTCATGCCCAATTACAAAAAAAACAAAAAAATTAAAACTGATTTTCTTTGTACAGTTATATATTATAAAACCTTTATTGTGCTGTTTTCTTGTCAAGTGCCAATGTTTATGCATCTGCTGCTATTCCGTACGATTCTAACTTGAAATGCTACATTTGTTAAGCCTCAAATTGATTCAAGCATATTTGATTAGTTTCCTTGTCATTTGTCATGCCGATCTGTCTGTCAGAGCAAGAAAAGAGGAGGAGAGAGTGACACAGCCATGAAACAGCCATGCCAATCAATTGGACAAGGACAAGTTGGTTGAATAATAATGTTAATAATTACAACACAAGTCTAGGGAATCCCTGATTTGCCATGACTCCCTCATTGAGCTATCTTCCACAGAGACTCCTCCGTTACAATAATTAACAGAACCATTCCACTTTTCTTCTTCGTTTTCTGTTATTCCCCCTGGATCAGGTACAAGTCCAAAAAAGAGAGCGAGAGAGATAGAGAGAGAGAAAAAAGTACAAAGATTGAATTCGCCCCCTCCCCATCCGACAGTAAAATCTCGGGCCGTCACTTGAAGCCCGGTGGGGGATTTTGTGGGAAAGAATAGCCATGTTGATCTTGAAGACTTAAGTCTCAGCGTACCTGTCAACACTCTGGCTCAGCAGCGAAGACTGTGGCCTAAGTCACTTGAAGTTGCCTTTTAATGAGAGGGGAAGTCTGCGCACGCTGTCAGACTGAGCCGAAATAATTCCATACCTTCTGAATAACCCAAGCGTGTCTTTTAATCCTGCTGCTGTTTATGTAATGGAAATAAGCAGGAACAGGTTAATGAGAAGGTGAGCTCTGGCCCGCACACACACACACATAGACTGGATCTGGTACACTATGAATATGAAGGTGATGTGTGTGTGATGTACGAAAGGCTCAATGCAGCTCTCCCCTTAAACATATCACACACAGACTGAATCTGGTACACTATGAATTTATGAAGGTGATGTGTGCATACAAAAGACTCCCCTTAAACATATTCTAATAAAGATGATTATAATAGAACTTTTGGCATTTCATTCAAACAGTTGATGTAATTTTCCATTTCCTATAACTCAGAAAAAAGGCTTTTATTTTGGTCTTATTTTACTATATAACTTACTTATGTTTGGAAATTCTAAATTATTTTATTTGGCATCTTTCCCCAAAAAGGCAAATGTGACCTTTACTATATATATGTATATAAATACACACACTTTTGGCATGAGAAGAACGGAATAGAACTGACACTCCCCTACCTCACATAAGAATGTGTTTTTTAAGCTATTTAACTACTTATTTGAATATCTTTATCATATTTATTAAATCACTTTATTTTAGAATAATTTTTTTATAATTTCTAACAGTGCATATAATATATATATATATATATATATATAACAGAAAGAGAATTATGGTGAGAGAGGAATGGAATTGGGATACATCATAAATCAGATTCAAACCTGAATTATCCATATGAGCACCACGACTCAAAGTATTAAAAGCATATGTGATCATTTCTGATACTTTTCAAAGTGCTTCATCATGCTGAGCTATATTGGTGTATTTACTGTTTAGATGCTAATAAAAATTATTCCACTTATTCCCCTAATTTTGGATCTTTCACTTCTCCTTCCCTTCCATCATTAATTTCCTCTATATTTTTTTCTTCCCTGCTTTTCCACCCTCCCTTACTCCATCTCTTCTTTTCTTCAGTGGGAATAATCCCCCCTACAGGAGACTTTAAAGAGCAGGCCAGGCAGGGACAGGCTTAATTACCCGCCTGCCTTAAAACTGATGCCAAATCAAAACTTACTCTGGTCCATCTCTGTCCTGCCTTGGCAGGGCTAATTGTGGCCTTGGATTCTATTTTGGGGAGTTTTAAAAAAGAAAAAGTCACAATTAAATCAAAACTAGAAATATGTGGGCGGCACATCACACATCATCATGTACTTTATATAGTTCTGGAGGTCCTGCCTGATTGATGTGAATTTTGGAGCAATTTCGGGGTACGGTATATAATTTAACATTAGTCATTTTATATAATAGTGTTCGCTTTGTGCTAAGCAACACCTTAGTACTAACTCAGGGCTGTGCATGTTATATCGCAAGTGTTTTATTTGGCCAGTCCAGAAAGTACTTCTATATACTTTTCTATGTTTTCAATCTTACACAGGGGGTAATCCAGACTTTTTTTAAGCGAGTGAAGTTTTAAACCTCTCCGGGATGTGCAACGAGGTTTCGATGGCTGGCCGAGGGAGAGCATTACGTTGGGGTATTTAACACCGTGGAGAGCTGGATACGAGGGGGCTTAATGATGCCGTAGCAGTCGGGATGAGCGCTAATTCACCGCCCAGGGCCCGCGACGGATGGGGCACCTGCAGAGCCTGCCATCAGTCAGCTTACCCACCCTCGACAGGTCCCGGGAGGGGCTCCAGATCCCTCCGACTCATGGAGCTCTGCCACTCTCCACAAAATGGCCTCATAATGACAGACGAGTGCGTGAGGTAGTTTGCATCTTTTTGTTTTTCTTTTCATTCTAAAGCTAACGCGTCAGCCTCTGAAAATTGTTTGCAACTAAAAACACATAAGAATTTTAAACATAAACAAATATGTTTATGCTAAAAAGTCTTGCGTTCCCTTAAGATTTCCCACACGATAAGAACATGCCCTGGAGCCAATTATTTTCAGATTACAGTAGTGTTATAGCATGGTGTCTTGCTTGATCTGTTTATATGACATCAGAGCAAACAGAAGCTAAATCGGTGATATGGTTGAATATTGTGTGACCTCACAAAGCATTTCTCTCGTAAGGCCCCGCCCACTCGTGTTTTCATGTCAGTTACATATAAAAAGCTTTATTATACCTCAATAACAAATACAAATTTTATGATGACTCGAGAAATAAAGAGTAAACAGCAGTGAAAATTCTTGTTTTTTTTTATTCAAGACCTGCATACCAAAGTTGCCTCAGTCCAAACAAGGGGTATCAACGTTTAATGCTTGGAAGAAATACGGGAGGAAAAAATACTAAAATATACACAGAAGGGCGGCTTTCAAAAATAACTAGTATAACACAAGTGAACATAATTGTCAGTTTGAGATGAACGTACTGTATAAATGAGTGGACAAACAGTCGTACAGAGCTCTTTGACCTCCACAAAGTGCCACATCTTTTTTTAGATGCAGATACCAGAGGCTAATACACTCTGGGAAAGGGTTTGAAAGTATACATGGTGGGTCAGGTTGATCGATTCCTGTCTGTATGAGTGTGGTCAGTTTAAGTAGCTCTTGATTACTTTAATTGTAGCCTTTGGTTGAAGGCAAAAAGCTTTGATGTGAATTGCACACAATTGGAGAGATCATACACAGCGAGGTTTGGCTCGGCTATCCTATTACCTACACATTTGAAAGTCCCCTGTGTCGATTATTTTAGACATATTATGAGCAAGCCTGTTTCCTGTGTGTGTGTGTGTGTGTGTGTGTGTGTGTGTGTGTGTGAGAGAGAGAGAGAGAGAGAGAGAGAGTGAACGAGTGTGTGTGTGTGCAGAGGGAAGGAGACAGACAGAGAGAGAAAGACCTTCCAAAATTTCCAGACCTTTTTCTTTACTTCCTGATCAGAAAATGATGATGACACGATAATGACTTGGACAACTAAAACATCTTGTATTTGTGCTCTATTCTTCCCATGCTAAAAAAACCTGAACTTTACAGGCCCCAGAAATCAGGTATTACACCTCAAAAATCAAAGGACAGAAGGGGGCTTTGTTTAAAAAAAAAAGACACACTGCTGCCAGAACACAATTGTTTTTTTTTTTTTTCAATTCTTTGCTTCACAAAAGTGTTGCATTTGTCTTATAAGACAATAAATAGGAAGATCAGTATTCAAGGCACACTCATGTCAAATTGAATGGCAGTACAAAAACTGTCCAAATAAATTAATTTCATTTTTATAGTGCCAGCATTGTGAAAGCCAAGCCTATCAACACTGGCACTTCAATCTCAGATGCTCCCTCTAGCAAGGCCCAATAAATTCGTATTTTAACATAATTTCTTGCTCAGAAGCCGTTTTCGCTATTGTTTTAAAATATGAAAATCAAAATAATAAAGTGCGGGTCAACTGCGAAGAGCTGTGTATGTTTACTTTTCTTTCTCTCTCTCTCTTTCTATTTCATTAGCTTGCTTTGCTCTTTTTAAACCACGATATTCCCTCGCTTCAATCGTTTGCGCTGGTTAGGGCATCTTGTCGAAAGAAGGCTGTTTAACTGCCAATAAATCAGTTGGATAGAAGAGAAGAGAAAAGAAAAGGGAAAATTCAGCTGTGCATTCTGTAAGCGTGTTGCTACTTCTGAGAATGCGTTCAACTACACATCACAGGAAGTCCTGAATGAGAGGAAAGAAAAGAAAAAAATTGTCTTACTGTTTTAGCACACGCTCAACAGGTTATGACATACACTCTTTACTGTGCAATTGACTAATCTGCATACCTGCTGATGGCTCTGACACACGGGACATGACCAGATTAACCAGATAAATCAATATCATACACATTTTTAACTATAATCAGATTTACTGTGCAGTATA